CAGCCCCAATCCAACTGGGATTACAGCTGGGATCCAGCCCAGATCCAGCCAGGATCACAGCCAGGATCCACCAGGACTGAGCCCAGATCCAGCTGGGATTACAGCCAGGATCCAGCCCAGATCCAGCCGGGATCCACCAGGACTGAACCAGATCCAGCTCACAGGGCCACAGCTGGTGCTGCAACAGCTGAGGGATCCACGGGATCCACTGGGATCCAGCCCAAATCCAGCTGGGATTACAGCCAGGATCCAGCCCAGATCCAGCTGGGATTACAGCTGGGATCCACCAGGACTGAACCAGATCCAGCCCACAGAGCCACAGCCGGTGCTGCAGCAGCTGAGGGATCCACGGGATCCAGACAGATTCCAGTGAGGATTCCAGCCCAGATCCCAGCAGATCCCAGCAGATCCCAGCTCCATCTCCACCCTGGGACTCTCCCCGAGCTCTCTCCCAGCACTTTTGAAGTTTCCAAGGCTCTGCCTCGGCACCAGATCCCTCCTGGCTCCTCCAGATCCCTCCTGGCTCCTCCAGATCCCTCCTGGCTCCTCCAGATCCCTCCTGGCTCCTCCAGATCCCTCCTGGCTCCTCCAGATCCCTCCTGGCTCCTCCAGATCCCTCCTGGCTCCTCCAGATCCCTCCTGGCTCCTCCAGATCCCTCCTGGCTCCTCCAGATCCCTCCTGGCTCCTCCAGATCCCTCCTGGCTCCTCCAGATCCCTCCTGGCTCCTCCAGATCCCTCCTGGCTCCTCCAGATCCCTCCTGGCTCCTCCAGATCCCTCCTGGCTCCTCCAGATCCCTCCTGGCTCCACCAGGCCCCACTTGGATCTACCAGATCCCACCTGGACCTTCCAGATTTCACAGGGATCCTCCAGACTCCACCTGGCTCCACCAGATCCCTCCTGGCTCCACCAGGCCCCACTTGGATCTACCAGATCCCACGTGGACCTTCCAGATTTCACACGGATCCTCCAGATCCCTCCTGGCTCCTTTGGGGATTTTTTGGGGAATTTTTGGGTGGTGGAGTACGAGGTGTGGAGGGTTTTGGGGAATTTTAGGAAATTTGGGGAATTTTTTTTTTAAGAATTTCAGGATTTTTTGGGGGATTCGGGGATTTTTTTGGGAATTTTTTTTAATTTTTGGAGGATTTGGGGATTTTTTGGGGAATTTTTGGGTAGTGGAGTAGGAGGAGTGGGGGGTTTTGGGGAATTTTAGGAAATTTGGGGAATTTTTTTATTTTCGGGGAACTTTGGGATTTTTTGGGGGATTGGGGGATTTTTTGGGGAATTTTTGGTTGGTGGGGTACAAGATATGGGAGGTTTGGGGGGATTTTAGGGAATTTTGGGGGGATTTGGGGTATTTTGGTGGCATTTTGGGAGTTTCTGGGTTGTTTTTGTTTGGTTTTTTTTTTTTAATGTGTGGAGTTTTTTCTGGGAATTTTTGGGGGTTTTTTTGGCAGCTTCTGGAAGTTTTTTGAGGGAATTTCTGGGGGTTTTTTTGTGAATTTTTGGGGCTGCTTTTCAGGAATTTCTGGGAGTGTTTGGGGGAATTTTTGGGGGGAATTTTGGGGTTTTTGGTGAGTTTTGTCCCCGCAGGAAGCCCAGGCCTACGCTGATGACAACAGCCTGCTCTTCATGGAGACCTCGGCCAAGACAGCCATGAATGTCAACGACCTCTTCCTGGCCATCGGTGTGGGATCCGCTGGGACCTGCTGGGGTCACAGCCCAAAGCCAGCCGGGATCCAGCCAGATTGAACCCAGATCCTGCTGGGATCACAGCCCAAACCCAGCCCGCAGGACCATGGGCAGAGCTGCAGCAACTGAGGGATCCCAGGGATCTGCTGGGATCCGCTGGGATCCAGCCCAAACACAGCCAGATTGAACCCAGACCCAGCCCGCAGAGCCACAGCCAGTGCTGCAGTGACTGAGGGATCCACGGGATCCACTGGGACCTGCTGGGATCCAGCCCAACCCCAGCTGGGATCCACTGGGATCGACCTGGGGTCACAGCCGGGATCCACCAGGACTGAACCCAGATCCAGCTGGGATTACAGCCAGGATCCAGCCCAGATCCAGCTGGGATTACAGCCAGGATCCAGCCCAAATCCAGCTGGGATCCACCAGGATTGAACCAGATCCAGCTCACAGGGCCGGGGTCGGTGCTGCAGTGACTGAGGGATCCACGGGATCTACTGGGATCCAGCCCCAATCCAACTGGGATTACAGCCAGGATCCAGCCCAGATCCAGCCGGGATCACAGCCAGGATCCACCAGGATGTGGTGTCCCCAGGTGATCCTGGCCCCCAGGTGACATCCCCCGGTGGTCCCAGTGGTGTCCCCGATGTCCCCAGGTGATCCCAGCCATGGCCACCCCTCAGGTGCCCCCCCGGTCCCCTCCCAGTGTCCCCCAGTTTGTCCCTGTCCCCACCCTGGGGCCGTCCCTCTCTGCACTTTATGGTCACATGTCCCCAGGGTGGCATTGAGGGGACAGCAGTGCCACCCCCTGCCCTTTGTCCTTGTCCCCTCTGGGCCCTCGGTGTCCCCACCGTGTCCAGGGGACAGCCGGGGTGCTGCCACCCCAGTGGGGACACCCCGAGTTGGGGACACCCCGAGGTGGTGGCACCTCAAAATTTGGGGACACCCCGAGTTGGGGACACCCAGAATTGTCCCCCCAGGCACGGGGGGTGGCGGCTGTGGGGTGGAGGGACCCGGTCCTGTATGAAGCCCCTGGGGACACCTTGGGGACATCCCCAGGGACACCTTGGGGACATTCCCAGGGACACCTTGGGGACATTCCCGGTGCTCCAGAGCCTCTGGACGTGGTGACATCGCTGTCCCCAGGGTGGTGACAGAGCCTGCAGGGTCCTGGCCTTGTCCCCACCCTGGGGACACCTCGGGGACACTTCCAGGGCCACTCCCAAGGCCACCTCGGGGACACTCCCAGGGACACCTTGGGGACACTCCCAGAGACACCTCGGGGACACTCCCAGGGACACCTCGGGGACACTCCCAGAGCCACCTTGGGGACACTCCTAGGGACACCTCGGGGACATTCCCGGTGCTCCAGAGCCTCTGGACGTGGTGACATCGCTGTCCCCAGGGTGGTGTCCCCATGTCCCAGCCCTGGACCAAACGGGGACCCCGCAGCTCCTGCCACTCCCTTATTTCCTTTTTCCCCTTTTTTTCCCCTTTTTTTCTTTTTTATCCTTTATTTTCCCTTTATTTTCCCTTTTTTTTCTCTTTATTTTCTCTTTATTTTCCCTTTTTTTCTCTTTTTTTCCCCTTTTCCCTCAGATTTTCTTTCTCTTTTCGGTTCATTTCCTTTTTTTTCTCCCCCCTCGCTTTGGGAAGCTCCTCCCTCGCCGTGAAATAACAATCGTGGTAACCACACCCTCGGGTCGCTGATTTACCCATGTATTTAATGTAAAGTAAAGAAAAAAATCAACAAGGACAAAAAAAAAAAACAAGGAAAAAAATCCCAAAAAACCGAAAATTCCCGATTTTTGTGTGCCCAGGGAGGGGACAGGCGACAACACCGGGGCCACCCGGTGCCAGCAGCCGCTGCCAGATCGCGGCCCTGCCCTGATAAGGCTTATCAGAGTTCACAGCTGCCTGGCGGCTCCTGGTTTTTCTCGTTTTTTTCCCGTTTTTTTCCCCAAATTCCCACCGGGAATTTCGGGGAGCGCTGCGCCTTTAAATCCGCGTGGCAGCTTTAAGACCCCCGTGGTGCTTGGAGTGGTGTTGCCGCTTTAAGCCGGCCGTGGTGGGGCCCACCCTGAGCGAGGCCACGCCCACGTGGCCCCCGTTAAAGTAAACAGAGGGGCGTGACCAGGTGGGTCGCGCCTTCCCCGAGGCCACGCCCATCGCCCCCCTCTTAAAGCGGCCGCGCCCGCAGGGACATCGCGGGACCGGAACCGTTACGCAGGTGCGCGGCGGGGACAACCGGGAGCGGGGACAACCGGGAGCGGGACCGGGGTGGGAACGGGGCGGAAAAACCGGGATCGGGGTGGGGCTGAGGGGAGGGAGAAGCGGGACCCCGCTGAGGCTGGGGGGAAACAACGGGGACCGGGGCACGTTTGGGGACAACCGGGACTGGCCTGGGCCTACGGCGGGGACAACGGGACCGGGATGGCGCTGGGGAGGGGAGAACCGGGACTGGGATGGGACTGGGGGAAGGGACAACCGGGACCGGGATGGCGCTGGGGAGGGGACAACGGGGACCGGACTGGGGACAACCGGGACCGGGATGGCGCTGGGGAGGGGACAACGGAGACCGGACTGGATTGGGGACAACCGGGACCGGACCGGGCTGGGACTGGGTGGGGGCACAACGGGCACCGGGCGCGGTCGTGTCGCAGCAGAGGTCCCTGATTGTCGCTTTCCCCGGCAGCGTTACCGGGGCTGTTTCCCGGTGCCGGTGCCCGCCCCAGCCGCGCTCTCCCGTCCCGCCGCCGCCGCCGCGATGCTGCTGCTCCGGGCCATGGCCGGCCGCAGGTAGGAACGGCCCCGCCGGGGCTCCCGGTGTCCCCCCGGTGTCCCGGGGCCGCTGTGACCCCGCTGTCCCCGCAGGCTCCCGCCGCTGATGCAGCTGCCCCGCCGCTGCTCCCGGTTGGCCGCCGGTAGCGGGGCCCCGGAGGGACACCGGGAACCGGCACCGGGGGGACACCGGGAAGCCATACCGGGGGGACACCGGGGAGAGACCCCCGGGGGACACCGGGGAGAGACTCCCGGGGGACACCGGGGAGCGGCCCCGGTGCTGGCGGCGCTGCTCGGGCTCGGGGCCGTCCTGGCCTACGGAGAGCGGCAGCGGAGGGTGAGCGACACCGCGGGCGGTGGCACCGGGGGGTGGCACCGGGGGGGCGGTGACACCTCGGGGTCCTTCCCCGTGACGGGGACACCGGGTGGGGTTGGACCCCGGCGGGAGGCGGCGCCTGAGGGGCGGATCCCGGTGAGAGGTGACACCGGGACAGCGGGAACGGGGAGGAGGGGTGGCACCGGGGGTGGATCCCGGGGGAAGAGGGTGGCACCGGGAAAGGGACATCCTGGAGACGGGGTGGCACCGGGACAGGGGGACCCGGGACAGGGAAAATCGGGCAGGGAGTGACACCGGTACAGGGGTGACACCGGGACAGGGAAATTCGGGGAGGGGGTGACACCGGGACAGGGGGATCCGGGGACTGGGGTGACACCGGGACAGGGGTGACACCAGGACAAGGATCCGGGGGAGGGGTGACATCGGGAGAGGGAAATTCGGGGCGGTGGTGACACTGGGACAGGGGGATCCCGGGGAGGGCAGGGGTGACACCGGGACAGGGATCCCGGGCAGGGTGACACCGGCATCCCGGAGCGATGGTGACACCGGGACAGGGGGATCCGGTGGAGGAGTGACACCGGGATCCCGGGGTGGGGGTGACACCGGGACAAGGATCCTGGGGAGGGGGTGACACCGGGACAGGGGTGACACCGGGATCCCGGGACAGGGGTGACACCGGGGCAGGGGTGACACCGGGGCAGGGGTGACACCGGGATCCCGGGACAGGGGTGACACCGGGGCAGGGGTGACACCGGGGCAGGGGTGACACCGGGATCCCGGGGCGGGGGTGACACCGGGACAAGGGTGGCCGCCGGTAGCGGGGCCCCGGAGGGACACCGGGAACCGGCACCGGGGGGACAGCGGGGAGAGACCTCCGGGAGACACCGGGGAGCGGCCCCGGTGCTGGCGGCGCTGCTCGGGCTCGGGGCCGTCCTGGCCTACGGAGAGCGGCAGCGGAGGGTGAGCGACACCGCGGGCGGTGGCACCGGGGGGTGGCACCGGGGGGGCGGTGACACCTCGGGGTCCTTCCCCGTGACGGGGACACCGGGTGGGGTTGGACCCCGGCGGGAGGCGGCGCCTGAGGGGCGGATCCCGGTGAGAGGTGACACCGGGACAGCGGGAACGGGGAGGAGGGGTGGCACCGGGGGTGGATCCCGGGGGAAGAGGGTGGCACCGGGAGAGGGACATCCTGGAGACGGGGTGGCACCGGGACAGGGGGACCCGGGACAGGGAAAATCGGGCAGGGAGTGACACCGGTACAGGGGTGACACCGGGACAGGGAAATTCGGGGAGGGGGTGACACCGGGACAGGGGGATCCGGGGACTGGGGTGACACCGGGACAGGGGTGACACCAGGACAAGGATCCGGGGGAGGGGTGACATCGGGAGAGGGAAATTCGGGGCGGTGGTGACACTGGGACAGGGGGATCCCGGGGAGGGCAGGGGTGACACCGGGACAGGGATCCCGGGCAGGGTGACACCGGCATCCCGGAGCGATGGTGACACCGGGACAGGGGGATCCGGGGGAGGAGTGACACCGGGATCCCGGGGTGGGGGTGACACCGGGACAAGGATCCTGGGGAGGGGGTGACACCGGGACAGGGGTGACACCGGGATCCCGGGACAGGGGTGACACCGGGGCAGGGGTGACACCGGGATCCCGGGGCAGGGGTGACACCGGGACGGGGGTGACACCGGGGTAGGGGTGACACCGGGATCCCGGGGCCCGGGGTGTCCCGCTGACCCTCCCGGTGCCCGCAGACCGCGCAGGCCGCCCGCGCCGCCCCGCCCGCGCCGTTCCCCCGTTACACGCGGGCGGAGGTGGCGCGGCACCGCAGCCCGAAGGAGCGCGTGTGGGTCACCTACGGCACCGAGGTGTTCGACGTTACCGATTTCGTGGAGCTGCACCCGGGGGGACCGGACAAGATCCTGCTGGCGGCCGGGGGGGCCCTGGAGCCCTTCTGGGCTCTCTACGCCGTGCACGGCCAGCCGCACGTGCTCGAGCTGCTCCGCGACTACAAAGTGGGCGAGCTGAGCCCCGAGGACGCCGCGCCGCCACCGGGCGACACCGAGGACCCGTTCGCCGGGGACCCCCCGCGCCACCCGGCGCTGCGGGTGAACAGCTCGAAGCCTTTTAACGCCGAGCCGCCGCCGGAGCTGCTGACGCAGAGCTTCCTGACGCCCAACGAGCTTTTCTTCACCCGTAACCACCTCCCGGTGCCCGCCGTGGAGCCGGGCTCCTACCGGCTGCGCGTGGAGGCTCCCGGCGGCCGCGCCTTGTCGCTGTCGCTGGCGGAGCTGCGACAACGCTTCCCCAAACACGAGGTGACGGCCACGCTGCAGTGCGCCGGTAACCGGAGGTCCGAGATGAGCCGCGTGCGGCCGGTCAAGGGGCTGGCGTGGGACATCGGTGCCATCAGCACGGCGCGCTGGGGCGGGGCGCGGCTCCGGGACGTGCTGCTGGCCGCCGGTGTCGGCGACAACACCGGAGACGGCGAGGAGTGGCACGTGTGCTTCGAAGGGCTGGACGCGGACGCTTCGGGGACGCCGTACGGGGCGTCCATCCCGTTAAAACGGGCGCTGAGCGCCGAGGCCGAGGTGCTGCTGGCGTACGAGATGAACGGGCGGGAGCTGCCGCGGGATCACGGCTTCCCGGTGCGCGTGCTGGTGCCCGGTGTGGTCGGGGCGCGGAGCGTGAAGTGGCTGCGGAGCGTGGCGGTGTCGCCCGCCGAGAGCCCGAGCCACTGGCAGCAGAACGACTACAAGGGCTTCTGCCCGTCCGTGGACTGGGATTCCGTGGATTTCGGGGCCGCGCCCGCCATCCAGGAGCTGCCGGTGCAGTCGGCCATCACCGAGCCCCGCGCCGGCGCCGCCGTGCCCGCCGGGGAGCTGACGGTGAAGGGATACGCGTGGAGCGGAGGAGGAAGGGAGGTGATCAGGGTGAGCGGGGGACGGGGAGTGGGGAGGGAAAGGGTGGGAAATGGGGTGGGGGGAA